CCGGGCGGCTTAGGCTGTGGAAGTACACAGATATACAGGACAAGTTGAGGGAAATGAAAAGTTTGGTAAGTTCATTCTTCTTTAAAGTGAGACAATAATATTTGCCCTGACGCAAAATAAAAACAGTTCGATTAATAAGTTAGATCTATCTTGAGCTTTTAGACTAAAATGAAAATAAAATAAAAAGAATGATATATGGAATATTGTTTCTTTTATCACCTAAGTAAACATTTTATATTTGGAAACGATGTTGGAGGATCAATCTTATAAAAGTGTAAACTTCTATAGTTCTATTTTGGATAAATTTATCTTGTTAGATTGTGGTTGTAGACATTTTGCGATGGCTAACTTGTTGTCTTTTAATTTGTTATTACCAGGAGGAGGATAATGATGTGAGAGGTATATTCTTGGACATGTCCGAAGTAATACAAAGCATTGCCATGGATCGTATGACCTTCATCAATATGCGCAATCTTCGATACCTTAAAATATACGAAACTTGTTGTCCTGGTAAAAGTAATACTGAATGCAAATTGCAATTCCCTGATGGGTTTGACTTCCCCTTGGAAGAGGTCCAATATTTCCACTGGCTGAAATTTCCGTTGGAAGAACTTCCAAGAGACTTTAAACCGGAGAATCTTGTTGACCTAAGGCTGCCTTACAGCAATGTTGAACGTCTTTGGAAAGATGTTAAGGTGTGTTATTCTGTCCCAATTCTTCTTGTAAAAATCTGTATATTTCATTAACTGGCACAAGTGAGGTATGTAGTTTTTCTGATTATCGATTGAATATTTTTTTTGTTGCATTGGTCATAGGACACACCAAGGTTGAAGTGGTTAGATCTAAGCTACTCGAGTAAGTTGCTTAACTTGTCAGGATTAGCAAAGGCTGATAGTCTTCAGAGATTAAACCTGGAAGGCTGCTCAAATTTGGATGAGTTGCCAAGGAATATGCAAAATATGAAGTCTCTCGTTTACCTGAACATGAGAGGATGCATTCGTCTTAAGTCTCTTCCACAGATGAATTTGATCTCCTTAAAAACCCTTATTCTCAGTGATTGTTCAAACCTCAAGGAATTTCAGGTTATTTCCGAAAGTCTAGAAGTTCTACATTTAGATGGCACTGTCATCAAGGAGCTTCCTCTAGCCATCCAGAAACTCGAAAGACTTGTCTTATTGAATTTGAAAAACTGCAAAATGTTGGAGTGTCTTCCCAATTGTCTTGGCAAGTTGAAATTGCTTGAAGAGTTGGTACTCTCTGGTTGTTCAAGACTTAGGAATCTTCCGGATGTTAGGCATAGCATGAAACATGTACAGACTTTACTCTTTGACGGGACAGGAGTAGATGAGATGCCAAACATGTCGTGCTTCATTGGATCCCAAAACCAAGCGGACGTAGATATATCTTTCCAAAATTTTGGATCATACTGCAGCCCTAGCAAGTGGCCACAAGTACTTGTTAACAGAGTATCCTCACTGCGACGTCTATGTTTGAGTGGACATGACTTTGTCAGCCTCCATAATGACATCGGGCGTCTTTACAATCTGACATGGCTTGACGTGAAGCAATGCAAGAAGCTTAGATCTGTTCCAATGCTTCCGCCAAGACTTCAGTATTTTAATGCTCATGGCTGTGATTCACTGGAAAGAGTTACAAATCCTCTTGGCATCCAAATTCTGACGGAGCAGATCCATGCCACTTTCAATTTTTCAAACTGCAACAAGTTGGATCCAGACGCCATAGATTCTATCATATCTTATACACAGTGGAAAAGCAAGTTGATACTAGACGCACTAAGTCGACACAATGGGGTCAGTTGCTCACTATCAAACTTTTTACCTGTTCTGTTGGTGGTATCTGTGGTTTTTTAATTTTCTACTTATATTTTATTTACTGTATTTTTTTTTCAGGGTTTTACTTTGGAAGCTTCTGTTGAAACATGCTTTCCTGGATGGGAAGTACCAGCATGGTTCAGTCACCGAGCCTCTGGATATTTGTTAGAACCAAAGCTGCCTCCACACTGGTATGAAAGCAGATTTACAGGAATAGCTCTATGTGCTGTGATTCTATTTCCTGGTGACGAATATCAAGGGAGCCGTCTTTCTGTGAAATGTAAATGTGAGTTCAAAAGTAAAGATGGATCCCGTATCCGATTCAGTTGCACTGTTGGAGGTTGGATTGAACAAGGTAACACGATTGAGTCTTCTCATGTTTTTCTGGGCTATGCCAGTAAATTGGATGTCGGAAAATTTTGCGAAGAAAATGAGGAGGGCTGTATGCACACAGATGCGTCGTTTGAATTTCAAGTGACAGATGGTACAAAAAAGTTAGAAGGTTACGAGGTCATGAAATGTGGCATTAGTTTGGTATATGCATCTGATGAGTTTCAGGTTGGTGAACACGGAACCAACGTTGAAACAAATCAGGACATAACTTCTTCAAGTTGGGTTCAAGATCTCTATGGTTGTATCTTTCTGGCATTTTCCTGCGTGGTGGTCATTGCAATATTGAGTTTCAGTGTGATTGTCTTTGCTCCTCAGTATTACTTGAGCTTCTCGGATTTCTGTTGGGCGTCACTTCCTCGTATTCTTTTCTTTGTGGCCTTTGGATTGTTTTTCAAGCCGGGCCACGTGAGAAAAAGAAAACCGATGATTTGAATGTCTGCTTCATTTCTGTCTTCGTCTGCACCTTTTTTTTTTCTCCTTTTCTACTTAAAAAACTAAGATCTTTCATCTGTTAATCTGACACTTTTTTATGACTGAATGTAAATATGACACTTCCAAATTTGTATGTATACATATCTGTTTAAGTTATTATCAAACGTTAGAAAACTAGCTTCGGTCACAAAAGAAGTGAAAACTTTCCGTGGCAAGCACAACTGGTTTGATCAAAAGAAAGAAAAAAAGTACCATCATTTTAATCTGTGGTCCAAATGCGGCTTAGGTGGCTTGGGGTAGGGTAGGTCAGTAGGTGAGTGAATTTTTTAAAAAAAATATATATACACACGATAATACTTGAGCGGATATGATTATGTTTTTTCACGTTGATCAGTTGACTTGATGATTAGAATTTGCATATGTTGAGCTGGTCACAAGATTCTACCAAAAGTCTTAGCTAGACCTGTTCAATCTGGTGTTCGGTCCGGTTTCACTTCGGTTTTTTTCGGTTTTCGGTTATTCGGTTTATAAAAATTAGCTACCATATTGAAACCATATTTAATTTGGCTTGGTTCGGTATTTATACTACCGGTTTTCGGTTTATTCGGTTTTATACCAAATAACATTATTATTTGATTTGGTTTCATATTATATGAATTAAAAAAAAACATATTGTCAAAACTATCATATATTAAAATAATCCTAGGTGTTCATATATATAAAAATATGAAATTAATAACAAACAAAACGACCAACGATTCAGTTTTGTATAGTTTTTCTTATTTTCTCTTTGTTCTTCCAAATAAATTACATGTTACAATCTAATTTCACAATTTCTTACAACATACAAAATCAAATCAAATTTAGATAATAGTTAAAGAAAATAAAATAAAACTATTAAGATATATCTTCACAAGGAATAAAAATTAAAAAAAAAAAGTCATATCCATTCGGTTTATATGGTATATACCAAATCCAAACCACATTGTCTATTTCGGTTCGGTTCGGTTCAGTACGATTCGGTATTACCATATTGAACAGCCCTAGTCTTAGCCAAAACGTTCAGTTAACTTTCTTTCCATGGCTACTTCTGCTTCCTCCTACTCATCTACTTGCGCTTCCATGGTCAATGGACTCCCTCCCCTGGTATTTGTCAATTTTACTATAAATTAAATTATTTATTATTTTGTATATTATTATTAAGTAATAAATTAATAACCACTAATTGTATTTTTATTTTTATTTATAAAATATGCAAGATAAAAATTTTAAGTTTCTCTTTTAATAGAATATATATTTTATTAAATGCGTACTATAATTTATAACACAAATCCGAAAATTGCTGACAAAATTTCCCTAAATACAAATTTTTCATAACCATAATTGTAAAAATGATTTGCTTGGTTATTGATGTAAGTTAGTTCTTTTAATTTGTTTTTAAATGAATTAAATAAACTAAAACTAAAAAATCATCACCCAATCAAATTAAAATAATTAATTAGAGAATTTTTCTATGAGTGATACATCATCAAAAGTCAATTTTGACTTCTCAATTAATATATATATATACATATATAAGAATACTCTAATCTTTTTTAAAGTGATAACTCACCTATAATATTACATTGTTAGTGCAAATGATTGGAATTTTTTGAAATTATATATTTGACTGGTTTACATTCATTTGATACATTTTTAGAATAAATGTGTATAGTGAATAGAAATATTATTAGATATATATTAATTAGTTTTCTATAATCTATGATTTATTGTATCCACTGTAAATATAATATATTTAAAACTATTTTTTCAGTATCATATGTATTTATATATATATTATAATTTTTTTCTAATGTAATCTATCCCACTATATATTAATTGAGAGCTTTATTGATTTTTGCTTAGGTCGCACTCATATGTGAAATTTACAATTAATTCTCTTAATTAATTGTGTTAATACATAAATTATTTGAATTCGTTTATATTTAAGATATTTGATTGTTTATAACATAGATTATATTAAGTAATTATATGATTAGTTTTAAAAAAAACTTTAATTAAAAAAAAAAAAAAGAAAAAGTCAAATACCAGAAACAATCAAATTAAAAGAATTAGTTATAAATTTCACTTATGAGTGTCATTTAAATAAAATAAATTAATAGACACTGGGATATACATATGATGACGATAATAATTGGGTGGATATGAGTCACTTTTTTTCACGTTGCTCAGTTGACTTAATGATTAGAACTTGCATATGCGAACTGGTCAATAATGCAAGCTTTCTACCCACTGTCTAGCTAAAAGGTTCAAAATTTCCTATGGCTGCTTTTGCTTCCTCCTCCTCCTCCTCCACTTGCGCTCCCATGATCAATGCACTCCCTCCCCGGGTATTTGTCAATTTCAGAGGCGAGGACTTGCGCGACAACTTCATAAGCCATCTCGAGACAGCCTTTAGAGACGGTGGCGTCAACTACTTTACTGACAATCTATTACGCCCAGGCATAAATCTCCAAACCCTTTTCAAGGAGATTGAGGACTCAGATATCGCACTGGCAGTCTTCTCCAAACGGTACTCAAAATCCCATTGGTGCTTGGACGAGCTAGTGAAGATTATGGAGAGGGTGGAGCAGAACAAACTCCAAGTCATCCCCATCTTTTTCAAAGTGAGGGTTGAGGATGTGAAGAAACAGACTGGAGATTTCGAGCGGAACTTATTAGGAGGAGATCGCCGCGAAAAACCGGACATGCCAAAATGGGAGAAAGCTTTGCGTTCTGTTACCAAAATAAAAGGCTTGAATTCTGACAAGTGCAGGTAGAAAACTAAACTAAACTAAACAATTTATTTCAGCCACTGTTTGAAAGTTTTGTATTGATTAGTTTCCTTTATTCGTGTGGCAGGAACGAGAGTGAGTTGATCATCGACATTGTACAGAGGTTGAAGAATGGGGTAGAAAAAAATATATCTCCAAGCACCTCCGCATCGTTGAGTTGTAATCCCGACACTGTCATTGAACAACCTCACAAGGATCTACCCCCATATGGAATTGAGAAACGGCTTAATCAACTCCAAGGCAAGTTATTTTTGGACTTTAATTGCGCAGCGAGTCGAATTGTTGGAGTTGTTGGTATGCCTGGTATTGGTAAAACCAGTCTCGCGACAGCTTATTACAATAAGTGGAACTATAAGGTAACGATTCACAAGAATATCCCTAGCATCCGCGAGAATTCAAAAAGCCATGGGACAGTTTGGTTGAGGAACACACTTCTGAATGGTCAAGACTTCAATGAGGAGGCAGACATGTTCAGCAAAAAGGTTCTTTATGTCTTGGATGATGTGAGCCACGTAGACCAAGTCAAATTTTTAAACACAAACCGCGAGTGGATCAAGGGTGGAAGCAAGATTATCATTACAACGCGTGACAAGTCATCGATCCAAGATATAGTTGACGATATTTATGTGGTCCCTTATTTAAACGACAAAGAAGCTCTGCAGCTCTTTAACAGTCATGCCTTCGTTGATCAAACCATTAGTGCCACAGGGAATTTCCCAAACCTATCGAAAAGTTTTGTGGAGTATGCTGATGGTAATCCACTAGCCCTCGAGGAGTTGGGAAAGGAGATTCGTGGGAAAGAGGATGTTCACTGGAAAGCAAGACTAGCAACACTGCCACATATTTGTAACCAGAATATCCTAACTGGTTTGAGAACTAGTTATGATAGACTGACTTGTCAACAGAAAGATGCGTTTCTCGACATAGCTTGTTTCTTCAGATCAGAGGAGGAAGACTATGTGAAATGTTTACTGGATGACTCCAAGTCATGTGAAGCTGTAAGAGATCTCACTGAAAAGTATATGATATGCATCTCTGCCGGCAGAATAGAGATGCATAATCTACTTTGTACACTGGGAAAGGAACTTGGTTCATCATATAAAAATAGTTCGGGGGGAAGAATGTGGGAACATGAAGAAACTATTGAGACTCTACGCTCTGTAAAAGAGGTAAAAGAAATGTCAAACCATTCTTTGCTTGAGTGATGGATTCTTTAAATGCCATTTGCTAACTCCTTGTCTTTTGACTTGTTACCAGGGTAAAAAAAAGGTGAGAGGTATTTTTCTAGACACGTCCAAAGTAAGCAATGGAATAGCCTTACACACGAATACCTTTGTCGAAAGGTTCGACCAGTTGAATCTGCGCTACCTCAAAATTTATGATTCTCTTTGTCCTCAACAATGTGATTCTGACTGTAAAGTTAACTTGCCTGATGAACTTGAGCTCCCATTTCAAGAGATCCGATATCTCCACTGGTTGAAATTCCCATTGGATAAACTTCCACCAGATTTCAACCCAAATAATCTTATTGATCTCAGGCTACCTTACAGTAAGGTTGAACGAGTTTGGGAATCTGCTAAGGTGCGTCCTCTTATGCCATTTTCTCGTTATTACATTTATTCTGTTTACAATTTACAAATGAACAATGATTAAGGGCATGACTGGTCCTCCCGCCTAAACGCAGTTTTTGTGGTTGGTAGCGTTTGTTAGCATTTTGCAACAATCACCGAAAACATTATAAACTGTTTCAAATCACTCTGAATCTCTAAAATTTAAAAGCTAGTTCAGCTAGCATTTGCGGTTGCGGACGATTGGGGGAGAATAAAAAATATTTTTATTCCCAGAAAACTATATAATATAAAAATAAAATATTCAATTAAAATTTTAAATTAAAATAATTGAAATACTGAAATATTTTATTATAAAATTTCCAAAAAAAAAATTCTTTAATTTTTTAAAAATTATATTTAAAAATTTAGTAGTGCAGTCTTTTCAATAAAATTTTTATATTTATCATGAAAATATAAATTTAATATTTTCATAATTATATAAAATATAAATATTGTTAATTTATTACTTAACCGATGTTTTATTTGATGATAAAACAGTCATAAATATCCCGTAAACACAACGTTGAACCAGTCGTATAAATCTATTAATGCTTAAAACCGCAATCTCCCACATCCGCAAAAGTCCACAACCGCAATCGCTGCGTTGTAACCAGTCAGGCTCTAAAAGTTTAAAACTGTTTCATTTGAAGGAATACACTTTGTTTATCACAATTGAGGTCTAGATGACTTACTTGTAAGGATGTTGTCGTGGGTAAAAAAAACCTATCCTACCCGAATCCGAAAAAAAACTGCTCATAAAATCCCCTACTATGAAAAACCCGAATAAAACTCTAAACTTCATAGATAACCCGAAATCAACCTTCTAATTATAGGATTACTTGCGGATACCCGAATATTTTGTTACACTTTGTTAATTATATATGAGAATATTAATTTTTCTTATCTAAGACGGAAAAATAAGAATTTACGTCTTAGGCGAAAAAACATGACTTTACGTTTTAAACGGTAAAACATGATTTTACATTTAAGGCGGGAAACAATATTTTTTATTTTTGTTAAGATAACATGAAATACGTTTTTACAGGAAAATGAGATTTTGTATTTTTTATGGAAAACCAAAAATTTATGTTTAAGGCAAGAAAAATGAGATTTTGCGTTTTGTACGGGTAAATGAGATTTGTGTTTAATGCGGGAAAATTAAATTTTGCGTTTTGGCAGAAAATAAGTTTTTTTTTTTGTTTTTGGTAGGCAAACAAAATTTGAAAAAAACGAGATTTGCGTATATAATATTTTTTTAGTTGAAAAAATGATTTTTTTTGTTTTCTGTGGCAAAACAAAATTTTACGTTTTAAACAAAAAAAAATTAGGTTTTTGGCGTGAAAACAAGATTCTGTGTTTTGTAAAAAAAAAAAATTCTACATTTTTTTATGAGAAATGAGACTTTTTGCTTTTGGAGGTATAACAAAATTTTACGTTTTTAATAGTAAAACAAATTTTAGATTTTGGTGAAAAACAGTATTCGCAGAAAAATAAGATTTAACGTTTATAGAGGAAAAAATAAAATTATTATATTTTCCGTTACTAAAAAATATTAGTATAATTGAAGAAAACTCTATGGATATCCTAAACCCAATAGGATAAACCTTATTGAAACCTAGATGTTAGGGTACCTGCCTGTTTTTTACCCTGATCTATGAATTATTCTATTCACCTCTTATGGTGAACTTTTAGGTTCACCAACCAATAGAATGCTGTTATTTTATATTTGATATCTTTTAAAGGAAAACAAAATTCTTATTCAGTTATATTATGTTTTTAAAATAAAAATAGAAAAACAAATAAAAATAATAATATTTACAAAAGCAAACAAAAATCTTAAGAAAAAATATTTTAACATTATATTGTATATTTAAAATAAAAAGATCAAAATAAAATAAAAACAGTAATAATTGCAAAAAAAAATATTTAATATATCTATAAATGTAAACAGAATATTGTTACATTATATTATATATTTAAAATAAAAATATAAAAATAAATAAAAACAGTATAATTGGTTAGTATTTATATTTTTGATTTAATGTTTATGATTTTTCCAAAGAGTTTATGATTTACCGAATGATTTAGGGTTTAGTGTTTTAGTGTTAAAATATACTTTTTAAAAGATTTTTTCGATCTTTGTAAATATTATTATTTTTTATTTATTTTGGTATATTTATTTTAAAAATATAATATAACTTAAAATGATTTTATTTTCTTTTCAAAAAGATGATTGGTAGGTGAACCTAAAAGAACATACTTGAGCGTGAACCCAAGAATAACTCCTGATCTATTTAGTCAAATAGTAGATTTTTGGGTTTTAAAATTTGGAAGGGTTTAGGGTATCCAACTGATAATTACCATTGTTAACATCCCTACTTGTTGAATTTAACTGATTGGTGCTCTGAACGGTTGTCACAGAAAGCACCACGGTTGAAGTGGGTGGATCTAAGTTACTCAACTATGTTGAGCGACCTGACAGCATTGTCCAAGGCGATTAATCTCCAGAGACTAAATCTTGAAGGCTGCACGAATCTGAGTAAGTTGCCAAGAGAGATGAAAAACATGAAGAGCCTTGTTTTCATCAACCTCAAGGGATGCATAATGCTTTCATCTCTACCAGCAAAACTGAGTCTAACCTCTCTGAAGACTCTAATCCTCAGTGGCTGCTCAAAATTTGTCAAGTTTGAGCTGAATTCTGAAAACCTTGAATTTCTACATTTAGATGGTACTGCAATCGAGAGTCTTCCTACAAGCATCCAGTACTTCAAGAAACTTGTGATACTGAATTTGAAAGGCTGCAAAAAGTTGGAGAGTCTGCCTCCTTACTGCCTCGACAAGTTGAAGGCTCTTGAAGAACTAATACTCTCTGGTTGTGGTTGTGAAAAGCTTACGAGATTTCCTGATATCAAGGAGAATATGGAAAATCTGCAGATTTTACTACTTGATGGGACCTCAATAGAAGAGGTGCCAAATATATTATTACAATCAGGTAAATTCAAAGACCAAGTGTTTTGTCAACAGCCACTCCGGATGAACAGCGTGTCCTTGTTGAGGCGTCTATGCTTAAGCGGTAATAAAAAAATCCTGAGCCTTGGATCCAGCATTAGCCAACTATACCATTTGAGATGGATACACTTGAAGGATTGCGAGAAACTTGAATCAATTTCAACGCTCCCACCAAATCTTCAGTGCTTAGATGCGCATAATTGTATCTCACTAAAAGCAGTAGCGAATCCTCTGGCTCTTCTTATCCCAACAACCCAGCAGGTCCCCTCTTCATTTATTTTCACCAACTGTGAAAAACTTGAGCACGCTGCAAAGAATGAAATCATATGCTGTGCTCACAATAAGAGCCGTCTCCTATCAGAAGCATTTAATCGCCACAGTCAGGTATCTCTCTCTCTCTCTCTCTGCTAGAGCTCCTACTTTAGGAGATTCCGAGACTTCAGTTCAGTCATCAGTTTCTCTAGGTCCAAGACCATTAATAGTTGCAATGGTTTACAATTGTTGTAAAAAAATTATAAATTAATAATATTGGAATTTTGCTTTTTCATTAATTGATCGATTTAACAATTTACCGAAAATTTTCTTTTTTTTAAAAAAAAATATATATATTTTATATAAAACATAGAAGAATATTTTATCTTACGGTATGTATTGATTAAATTTTATAGATACAATTTTTATGCTATTTTTATTCAATTTTTATGTTGTTTTATTCAGTTATGATATATGTAAAAGTAAATGCTTGTAAATTGATAAAATAATATCATTATATTTATAAAAATTAAAAAATAAAGATATACTTGGTCTTGCTGTGATTTATTAATGTGTGTTTAAAAAAAGGAAGATATAATTCATTGTGAATAAAAACATAAGTATACAATCTATTTATATATTTATATAACTGTATATTCATTAATTAATAATTTATGTTTATATTACTTCAGGGTTTTGCTTCTGAAGCTTTGGTTGGTGCTAGCTTTCCTGGAAGTGAAATTCCAGCTTGGTTTAGTCACAGGGCTTCTGGAGCAGAGTTAGAGCCAGAGCTGCCTCGGCATTGGAGTGAAAATGGGTTTGTTGGAATAGCTCTCTGTGCTGTTATCTTATTCGAGGACGACAAGACTCGATACAATAAACTCCAGGTGAAATGCAAATGTGTATTCAACAATGTTGAGACATCGCCTAGCAACTTTGATTGCCGTATTGGAGGTTTATCTGAGACAGGAGATGAGGGACGCACGTTTAAGTCTACTCATGTGTTCATTGGCTACACCAATTGGTTGAATGTAAAAAAATGTCAAGAAGGTGATTGTATGATGGGATGCGTTCCTACTAAAGCTTCCATTAAATTTGAAGTGACAGATGGTAGCAAGGAGGTTAGGAGTTGTGAGATCATTAAGTGCGGCTTTAGTTTAGTTTATGAATCAGGTTCTTGGGAGGGAAGCTCAAGGAGAGAGAACGTCAGCCAAGGTGAAAGTGTGTTGTTGAGTCTGTGGAGAGGAATAAATTGGTTCTTTAAACCATCAAACTATATTGCAACCGCAAAAAGGGACGATAACTTCACTGGCAAAACAAGCTGTACTAACTAGTAAGTAGCTCTACTGAGTGCTAAAATAGCTTATTTTATCGATTTTATCTTCTTGTAACAACACTTTTTGAGGCTAAGATTATTATATATGTCACTCGTTTTCACGTTTTCGTTTCTCATGTCTATTACTTGAACAAAGTTGGGTTCTAAGGTTTTGCCTTGTATGAACTTGAAACTCATACAATGATTATTGAACCCTTTGTTAAACGAATTATCAAACAGATAATTAACTTTAAATCAGGTATTGGATAACGCTCCAGTAAAGTATAAACTCTCTGAGGGGTCTAAAGAAGACATTTCTGTTGCTTAATTTCATCATCTTTTCCTTACCACGCTAATCCCTTTGACCTGGATTCTCTCCTCGAGGGGTTTCCTAGAAGGATTACAGAGGACATGAGCAGCAGCCTCATTGCTTCAGTTTCAACAGAGAAGATAAGAAAAGAAGGGATGAGTGTGAACGGAAGTAGCGCACCAGGTGAAAGATGGCTTGACATAAATGGGACATTGGTTTATATGCTTAGATCATCTGTAATGGTGTTACCTATGAAATTTTTTAGTTTTTAATTTTTTAGTTATTATTTTTTTTTTTTTTTAGATAATAAAAAATAGTGTAAGAATACCAACCAATAAAAAATAATAAAAAATAGTGCAAGGATAATAAAATAATAAAAAATAGTGCAAGAATAATAAAAATAAAAAATAAAAAAATAGTGCAAGGATACCAACCAATCGCGAGTCGCCACGTGTCATGAAAGCCCGCAAATAGTAAGGATTCGCTAAGAAAAAATCTTTATTTAGTGATTTTAAGAATTAAATCCTTAACTTTTGATGGAGTCCACAGATTATTTAATTATTTTTTCATTTAGGATTCGCCTTTAAGGATTCCTGTTGCGATGCTTTTAGCACTGACAATGCCAATATATGTAACTGTAGACCTATGTAGAAGAACATAAATTTTGAGGGCAAAAAACAAAATCACCGTTGACAAATAGCCAAAAACAAATTCACAAATGAAAAACAGCCTTCCACTTCACATTCTTCACCGTGTTCAGCCTCATTAGCCAAATCGTATTCATCCGTAGATGGACTACAAATTTGGATCTCCGGGGATGAAAAATCCTCTATCAGTCGTATACCCCATTCATTCAGTTTGCAGGGAACATTCGAAGGGAAATGAAACTGTATATCCACGTGATCGCAATTAAGTCTAGCTATATGAGCATTCTCTTCCTTTAGAGGGAAACAATAGTCGAATATAAACATATGACTACCCTTATTATACGCCGTGATGTTTTCTTGGTGATAATCAGAATCAAAGTAGTTTCCATTTTCGTCTTTGAACCTACAATTTACCTTGATACACGCGCAAACGGAACCAAGGGTTGGTATAGGGTCAAACACAACAGCAGCGCAAGCTCTAAGTCTGAAGGTTTGTCGAGAGAGAGAGGTTTGAAGCAGAGGAACGGTGAGAGAAGTGGATGTTCCAGTAGCTTTATGAGTGAAATATGAAGACACTTCTTCACAAGACAAGATGAGTTGCTCAAAAGATGATTGTTGCTGAAGAAGAGCTTCAAGATCCAAGTCAAAGCAGTTGATGAGTCTGAATTTGACTCTTGGGACCAAATTTTCCTGAAGAGAAGAAGAGGCGGTCTCCTCGGGGACTATTAACTCTGTCTCGATACCAGCTCCAGTCAATGCTCCACAGTTTGAAAAGTCAACCATCTCAAGATGTCTCAATGTAGAAATGGATACATATTTTAACTTAGGGCAACTTTCCATAAATAGGTATTTGAGCCTAGGGAACTCTTCAACCCACCAAGGAATCTCTTCTATTCCTGTTTGGCTTAGATTGAGATCTAAGACATTTCTTGAGATATCAGGAAAACTCCTCAACCGCGAGCAACCATTAAGAATAAGGCGAATGAGCGATGGAAGGTTGATACCAGTGGGAAGAATCTCAAGATTTTTGCATCTTGTAATGCTCAAATTTGTAAGTTTACGCAGATTCTGAAATGAAGAAGGAAGCTCCACCAAACTAGGGATATCCGAGAGAGACAAGATCGCCAAAGAAGGAGATAACATGGTCATGAGAGGTGTAAGCGGCTGAAACAAAAAAAAACATTAAAAATGTTGAATGTGTTAGTAAAAGAGCTATCAGAAAATTATTAAGTTTAATTATAACTAGGTACCTGTACTCTCTCCCATAGCTTCTCACTCTTTATGCCTTGCATGCAAAACATAGTAAGATTCTCTAGATGCAAATTAGAAGGGAATTCTTCAATGGATGTTTCGTCTAGAATAAGCTCTGAGATGTTTCTTGAGATGTCCGGAAAGGTTTTTAAGCGTGAACATCCTGTGAGATTGAGGCGGTTGAGAGATTCAAGGTTCATTCCAGTGGGAAGAGTCTCTAGATTTGTACATGCTGGCATGTTCAGTTCAGTCAGTTTATTGAGCTTTTTAATAGAGGAAGGGAGCTCCACCAAACTAGAGCAACCCTTGAGATCTAATTTTTCTAGACTGGTGGCTTTCGAAAGATCGGGAATTTCTTTCAAGCTCTTAGATCCCCACAAATCTATTTTCTTTAGATGTCCAAGCGGCTGCAACCAAAAAAAAAAAAAAACTAAGCAAATCATAGTACAAGTTACACATAACGTAAGCATTCTAATATATTGGTTCTAAGACCATCTCCAATGAGGGATTATTATGGTGGTTTTCTTATATTCCGCTAAGAACCCTCGAGTAAGAACTCCCAATTGAAGGTGCTCTAAGAACATAACAACCAGTTTTTTAATCTTACCGAGATGCCTTGCCACAAGTTCTCAAGATTGCTATTCTGCATTTCAAGAATGACTAGGTTTTGAGGACAAAACTTGGAAGGCATACATCTCATTGGATATTTATCCCAACACAATAATCTGAGTTTTGATGGCAAATAGTCAAAGCTTTCATGTAACCGCAATCTGACTTCTTTTCCAAACGTGTAAAATTTAAGGAAACGGAGATTACTCATCCCTTTAAAGGCACTTTCATGGACATGTAACTCATCATGAATCTTGTCCATGTCCAGTGCTATACCTAAAACCTTCTTAGTACCCTGAAAAGAAAATTAAAAATATTAGGTTAGTTCCTCCTTTTATCAAATGACATGCTACGTAAGAAACTACTTACACTGTTTTCACTAAGTACATCGCATATATCATCCAAATCCACCAGAAATTCACGGTTTCCAGGCTCGTCAATGGATTGTGCACGAACAATTTTTCTACCTATTTCTTGTAACAAACTGTGCATCTCCACGGTATCGCTTCTTACGTGTATGAGAGACTTATCAACTAGGTTTTCGATCCCAACATGCACACCAAGATTCCTATCTTCCAGCAACAACTTAATGTTAGGTATGTTCTCACCATTGAAAAGACATGCAATGTGACGATATATCACTTTATCTTCTTCTCTATCCAACCCATCATAGCTAATTCTTAGGGTTTTCTCGATTTTCTGATCACCAACACCATTTTGAAGCGTTGGCAGCAAATCCATCCAATAAGCCTTGTCCCTCCCCCGCAAAGTGTAACCTAAAACAGTAAGACCCAAAGGAAGACTACCAGCATGTCTTGTAACTTCAACTGCAAGCTTTTCAAAGCCTTCACGTGGAAAGTTTTGCCTGAAAGCAGATCGACATAGAATCTCTAGAGCACGCTCTTCAGATGGGAGACAGACCTGATAAACATGATCAATCCCATGAGCCCTTAAAAAATGTCTATCTTTTGTAACCACAATTATTCTGCTTCCACTTCCGAACCAATGAGCTTGACCAGCCAACACATCTAGCACCACTTGATCATCCAAATCATCAATAAATATAAGAACTCTCTGATGTTTTAGCCTATTTTCCACCGCGCTTAAGTTATCTATCTGTGTGTGCCTTGTGCCTAAAATTTCAGACAAAAAATGTCTTTGCAAACTCAACTTCATGTTATAGTCATCAGGGTTGGCTCCCCTATAATGATCCATGTTCTTAGATATGAATCTCCTGTCTATGAAGACAGTACATTGGAACCGACGAGAGATTCGACTAAATAGAGCTCTTGCAACAGTAGTCTTGCCAATTCCGGATGGACCCCATATCCCAACCATCCTTACTTCCTCAGATTCCAAATCCAACAGCACGCTCATCTCTGCTATATGATCTTCAATGCCAACACATTCCTCAAAATCTTTTGATTGAGTAAAATTCAGTTTCCCCAAAAGATCATTGACGATTACTTCAATCATTTTTGCTTCGTTATTGCTAACATGAAACAATAAAAATACATTGTCAAATGTCACGTAAAAAACACATATTTAAGACATACTAATAGAATTTGAAATAGTCGTACAAATTTTGCGAATGATATCCGAGTAGATTCGCTACAACGGTCAACGCCTGTTGCCATCTGATTTTCACTGCCTTTGTTTTCATCTTACAAGTCTTGGCAAAAAACTCTCCAAATTTTCCGGTTTGTTTCCTGACATGAGAAGGATCTAAACCATAGAATATGGGTAGAACAAGTTGACCCAACTCTTCCTTACATCTCACGATCTCAACCAACTCGTCCAGACACCAACTTGAAGAGGCATACTTTGGAGAGAACACAACGACCGCGATCCTGGAAGCCCTAATCGCAGTTACAAGCGCAGGGGCAATCGAGTGGCTTCTTTCGATCTCATTGTCTTTGAAAGTCTTGACCAGTTTTCGATCTAGCTCCTTGAGAAAATGGCTAAGGAAATTTATACGCACATCTTCCCCACTAAAGCTGGGGAAAACATCGTATAGCCAATTACGAGAATCCATTTGGTAAAGAAAAAGAAAAAAAAAACTCTTGGAAAGTCACCAAGTGAACAATAGCTCGTAACTGAGAGGAAAAAGTTGGAAAAAAATTAGGATTTATCGTCGTTCGTATGAATAATGGAAAGTGGAAAGCATGATGGAATTTGTTGGATACATAGTACATGTTTGGTCGAAGAAAGTCAACGACCCCCGTTCGTGAACTAGTCTAACGGAGACTTTCTCAACTACAATCTGGTCGTTTTTATGTCAAAATTAGAAACTTTCTCAATAATTAACTTCTTAGAGCATCCGGGAATTCTTAAGAGAAATTCTTAGTAAAAATAGTTAAATAATCGGTAGATCCTACAAAAAATTATGGATTCGATCCTTAAAATTTCTAAATAAGGATTGTTTCTTAGCGAATTCTTACACTATTTGCGGGTTTCAGGATACGTGATAGCTCACGAATGGTCATTTTTTTTTTTAAATCCGAAATATCTTTACCAAATCTGAAATATCTTTTTTCTTAAGGACACCTATGAGTCCCAAAATTACGGATGCTCTTATATACGGTTATTTCTTTCTTTTTAAGTCCATAAAAAGACATCTTGAATGTTAGTTCAGAAAAAAAGATCTTGAATATTATAGTTGTATTTATACCTAACTGATCATTTATGTACATGCATGATACAATAAAGTCTATAAGCTATACTATAAAACAAGAAAACTGCCAAAGAAACTAAGCGAACCAAAGAATCTTTTTTTTTTAAGTTTCCCAAGGTTTTCAAATTATTTAACTGTGCCCTGTGAATGAAGCAAAACATTGATTCTTTGTAAGAAAAACAGCAACCTAGCTTTACAACCTGCAAGAACAAGTATTTAATTTCCTTTACGAATCCCGAAAACCCAAACAGCCTTAACCAAGAAAAGCACCATCTAATCAAACCTATATATAAACCTAAGCTCTTAAATCATTCCACAATTCAGATCTTAGCTTTCAAATATATCTTTTTCAAGACAAAAATATATAGTTCTTGATTTATCTTGCCTAGTGTGCACGAAAAAATGGCGGAACAGCGGATGCAACCAGTGGCCTCTCTGCTCCTACTCCTGAATTTCTGCATGTACGCTATTGTTCTCGGAATTGGAGCATGGTCCATGAACAAAGCTATCAGCCATGGCTTCCCTATTGGTATATAATTGTTTTATGAAATAGAAACCAGTGCTTTCAAAATATATTTTTCATAATTAAACAATAGATGTATATTTTAAAATACGATATTTCTGTTACCCAAAAAAACTTAACATGAAACAATTTGGTAGTTAATCCAAGCTTGGTCTTGTATTCTTCTCAAGCTACTTTTAGTGTCTGTCTATATCAATAGTATGAATCCCTACCGAAAGTAAAGCAGGTTTCTAAATTTTCATGATATATGAATATTTAATAAGATTCCTAAAATAAATTTAAAACAATCTTTTAAACTTTTTGATGATAAAGGTGCGGATTACAGCCTTCCCACTCATTTCTCGCCAATATATTTTCCAATGGGTAATGCGGCCACCGGATTCTTTGTGATGTTTGCCTTAATTGCCGGAGTGGCTGGAGCTGCCTCTGTTATCTCTGGTTTCAGTCATCTCCAGTCATCAACTACAGCTAGCCTTCCGGCAGCTGTCTCTGCCGCCACCATTGCTTGGTCGCTCACAGTTTTAGCTATGGGGTAAGACATTAATCAAAATACACTTTTGACATAATAAACAATCATTTTATTTCCTATAATACTTTACCATCACACACCAAAGATAAAAAGCCAATTATAGTTTATCAATATCGTTGCTTCTTGAATGTTCTTGTGCAGGTTTGGCTGCAAGGAAATTGAACTTGAAATGAGAAATGCCCGTTTGGTAAGCTAACTGTCTTTGCTATAATAGTCTGTATAAATATATGTATTAGATTTTACCAAAAAAATATATATGTATTAGTTATTTAAATATTTTTGTCATGAAGTGTAGTTATTAATTAAATATGTTTTGTAGATGAGGATAACTTAAAAAATTATTTAAATACTTCAAAATGTGACGGAAAAACATTCAACTAATTTAAGAGCTTAAGTACGTTTGAATTAATTTTTTTTTTTTTTTTTTTGCAGAGGACAATGGAGGCATTTCTAATCATTCTTTCGGCAACACAACTTTTCTATATAGCTGCTATATATGTAACGCGAAAATAAAACGAGAAAAAAAAAATACAAAACTGATTTTTTTTTCTTCTTATTTACTTGTTTTGTAATTTATATTTTCTTATCCAATTTGGCTATTTAAGGATGTGTATTTGTGTGATTTGTATTATTTTATTATTGAATTTACTGTAAAATATATATGCTGTAATTTTTAACCTTAATAAAAAGAAATTAGAATTCCAGTCAAGGATGATTACAAAAATTCAAATAATGTGTGCCAAGTAGTACAAAACTAGGTAAAAAACACAAGCTCTTTTATCATATCATTACAAACAAAAACGTTTTCTCAATTCGCACTCATGGGAAAAGCTACAACCGAAGCATAAGCACCACCTGAAATCTCCGTCAACGTTTCAAGTCTTCTCCTCTCCGCGATCGAATGAGAAAGAGGAGAGAAATTGCAAAACTAAATTTATATTCTATATTTCGTAAATAAGATAGGACACAACAAAATATCTCATTTGAAAGATAACTTTGAACTATATTATATGAATGTATAATATAATATTGATTCAAAACTTAGTTTATGTATACTATAAAATTTAAAACCGAGTGATTGTTTTAGAGAAAACTGAAAGAGATTATAATGAAAGACGAAAAATAGTTTTATGAGGAAACAAATTCAAAAAAAAAGGCAATTATCTCAAATAGTTATTTTTTTAAGTTTTTTATCACAAAATAGACCTCAAAAATTAAAAGGACCAGAATAGCACTTTTTATTTTGAAAAATTTAAGTTTTTTAATTTTTTTTTAAATTCGAAACCCTATCTCTAAAACCCCATTCATTAACTTAAACAAAAAAATCTAGGATTAGTTAACTTAAGGGCATAAATGTATATTTAATCAAACATTTAAGTACTATTTTGTTCATTTTAATTGTTAAAGTCAATATCTATGATAAAAAAAATTTAGGTATATTCTAGTCATTTTCTCAATAAAAAATAATACTACACATATGTAGATATAGAGATGTAGTGGCCACTAATACATATTTTGTAGAGAGAATTAGGCAAATGCCCAAAATCGAAGTCCATATTAGGCGAATACACATGAGTTGACATTAAAACAACTTTTCTTACAATTTGGTTGGTGTTGGATGAAAATGCCCTTCTGAATCATATTGCCTATATCTGACGCTCTCTCTCCAACGATTCTTCATCTCTTTCTTTAAACCACACATATTTTTCACACATCTCTTTTTCATATTCATTTCTTTCTTTTTACACTATTTTTTCTTGATTTTTTTCTCATCTACAATTTTATATACAAATGAATTTTAAGTTTACTCATTTTGATAGAGAAATGAAACTTCAAGAATATTTATTTATTAACATATAATACCTAACGCATATATTGACATCTACAAATTTATTAACAACTAACATCTCTGTTAACTCTTATAATACATGTCTTGTTAACCGCTAACACATCTGTTAACATTTACAAAATTTGTTAACAGTTAATGTCTCTGTTAATACATCTGGTACATGTATTTGTTAACAGTTACCACATTTGTTGACATCCACATTATTTGTTAACAGCTAACATCAGTGTTAACATCTTTGACGATTTATAAAAAACATGTCACAAATGATAACTCTATAAACTATATGTTAAGATATTTATTTGATATCAAGTTCAATATTATTTGTAATGTGTTAATAAAGATTTTGGCTGTAATTTTAACAAATATAATAAACATATATATAATATTTTCTTTAAACCAAATAACACTAGAAAACATACAAATAAAAAACAATTAGAAAAGCAGATGAGATAAAACTAGGAAAAACAAGAACAAAACGTACAACAGATTTAAAGAGGAAATAAGGGAAAGAGAAATAATAAAAAAAGAGATGAGGGAGAGAGAGTTAAAAAAATTGTTTCAGACAAAATCATTAGGTTGACAAACCTATAGGAGTAGAATGAGAGAGAATAAGAGGAAATTTGGTCAACAAATCTGAAAAAATTACATTAGATGTAAACTTCTAATTAAATGTCCCAATATGGTATCTCAGCAAATTATCTCTATTTTATAAGATATATTTACCCACTTATCGTTGTTATGTATACATTCGTCTAATTTAGTTGTTTTGTCAGAGAATCAAATTTATCTTGAGAATTGCTACTTTGTTTCTACTTATCAGTAATGATATCTATACTATTAAAATTGAAGTACAAAAAATTAAGTGTTTGGAAACATGAATAAGAAGTATTTAAAATTATGATGATTGGAAACAATGATAGCCTACAAATCTAATGGGCTTACTTATTAAACTAAAAATTACTGCAGCCCAACGTACCATTATTATTGTTTTTGGATTTTCTATCATTAATATTATTTTATTTCTAAAATATATTTATACATATATGTACTCATGTTTTAAATGTATTTAAAATAAATCAAGAATAATATATATTTTATTTATATAATTTATATTGACTATTGTTATAAGTTTTTAACGGTAATATACTAGCCTTCCAATTCTCCATTAAATTGTTTAGTGTATATAACTTTGCACTAAATTTAATCAAAAAAAACTTTATAAAATATTACTAAAATATTTACAGGTCACAACATTTTACCGACGTCCTGTTACACATTATAGTGATGAAATACAATGTTTAAACATTATACTATCACTTAGTAAAATTGGAACCGTAAGATTGTAATTTTTAAAATATTTATATATACCATAAAAACAAAAACTCGCCCAGTCGGGTGGGTTATGATCTAGTTAGCTTTTACATCTGTCTCACCGAGTGAATCTTAAATCTCACTAGATGCATAGTCCCCGCGCAAGCGCGGGGGTTGGATAGTTGATGTGTTGTGTAGTTTTGTGTATGAGACTTTACTGTTTTTTTTTTAAACATTTGTTTATCTGGCTTATCTATAATGTGTGATGAATGAAACATTAGAAGTCACACAACTTGATTAGTGTGATAAAAGAATAAACATCGAATTCATATGGGTTGATATTTTCATATTTTATCTTCGTAGTGATTTTATCGAGCATTCCCTTTATCAGTGATTTTATCGAGCATTACTGTTATTAGTGTTTTCATATAAAAAAATAATTTAATGGAGACAAGACAAAAAAAGACATGTGTTTATTAGTGTAATTTTCTTTCTGAAATTATGTTGTATATATATATATATATATATTTATTTTTTTTTTAATTGTGAAAATTGTATATGAGATTTATGGCCGATCTGAATGGTTTGGGATAAATATGTATTATTGAAAAATATGTTTTTATTTTATTTGACGATTATAACTGAACTGAAGTGATATTGGATGTTGGAATATGATAACCTTTCTTATAAAAGTATCTAAGATGGTCTCATAAAGTTTCAAATTTAAGTCATTTTGTATCCCAACAACCAGCATAAAAAATCATTATGAATCTCCCTAAGCTTTTAGGTATCCCGAAAAGCCCAAATTTAAAATAAAAAAATTACATGCAAACAGTGCGTTTCGAACCTGCGCACTCGCGGTACCAACTTCTCGTCACCAATTAACACCACTGGGCCATTTCATCGCTCATCAATAACATTCAATCTTACAAAATCTTATACGTTTTTGTTTTCCCTAATAACACGCGTGGGACCCGCAAACTTGCTGAGGTGGATAGGCTTAGGAGCCTTGAAAGTGTATCATTATAATATAGATTATTCCCAAATATATTTAGCTCTCATCATAAAACTTACCGAAAAAGATTAAATTTAAATCAAATGATCTCGATTTAACTTAATAAAAAAAAGAAAGAACAAGCTTAATTTTCTCGGGAATAATTGTTTTTGAAGTAATAAATGTGCATTTAATCTCTTTTATTAAACGGACGTCATCTATGCAAGTCTTTCGTCTGTCAATCCGAAAGCTTGGCTTCACTCGTCGGCAGCTTCTCACTGAAAATAGCTAAGCAGAAAAGCTCAAGAGAAACAACCCAAATAAACTTCGAACATGTAAGTAGAAATCTCTTTTTGTAGATCGTTTCCCAGCTCTGAAAACTCATCTCTTGAAGAAAGATCCCTTCTGGGTTTTCCAATTTCACTTTCAATTCATTTGGGTTTCCATTTGCAATTCTAAAGTTACAATCTTTGTTCTTTCTTTTATTTCCCAATCTAGAGTTTGTAGCTGTACTAAAGTTTCTACTTTTGTTGTTTAAAAAAATAAAAAATCAAAACTTTATAATCCTGTTTCACATAATCTGTTTATCCTTAATCAAATTCAATTTACATCATGTCAAGTTTTACCATTTTTAATGATTTAAATGTATATTAAGTACTAACTGATTGATATTTTTACAATGTTTCAGAAATTTCCAAAGTGACAATGAGTTCTACTAAAAACACATCACCACTTAAGAATCAGACAAGAACTTCAATATATATAATCATTGTTACTGGTTTGTGTTGTTTCTTCTATCTTCTTGGAGCATGGCAACGTAGTGGGTTTGGTAAAGGAGATGGTGTTATAGCAATGGAAGCAGTAACAAAGCAAACACAGTGTACTAATACAACACACATTGTAACCAATCTCGACTTTGAACCTCACCATAAGACAGTGAAGATCCCTCAAAGAGCTAACCCCAAGCCGGTCATGTTCAAGCCGTGTGGCATAAAATACAAAGACTACACACCATGTCATGAACAAAAACGAGCAATGAAGTTCCCGAGGGAGAATATGGTTTACAGAGAGAGACATTGCCCTCCGGAGAATGAGAAGCTGCGTTGTCTAATACCTGCTCCTAAAGGGTACAAAACTCCTTTCCCTTGGCCTAAAAGCCGTGACTACGTTCACTATTCCAACGTTCCTTTCAAGAGCTTAACAGTTGCAAAAGCTGGGCAAAACTGGGTTAAGTTTCAAGGAGATGTGTTTAACTTCCCTGGAGGAGGAACTATGTTTCCTCAAGGCGCTGATGCTTATATCAATGAGCTAGCTAAAGTAATCCCTATCAAAGATGGATCAGTTAGAACTGCTTTGGACACAGGATGTGGGGTGAGTTGGTTTCATTTACAAGCTCTCAACGCGTTGTTGATGAAAGCTTATTGTTGTTTCTCTATACATATTAGGTTGCAAGCTGGGGTGCATATATGCTTAAGAAGAATGTACTGACTATGTCTTTTGCGCCACGAGATGTCCATGAAGCTCAAGTACAGTTTGCTTTAGAGAGAGGTG